TTTAAGAAGGACCATGTGGGAGACAAGGGACTTGTCAGCTCTCCTCTCTAACTAGAAAAGGGAACTGCTGACGGAGCTGGGGTAGGAGGCTCAGAGGAGAAAAAAAGCCTATTTCTTAAGGAATTACTAGTTTTAGGAAATGAGGAAAGGAGGTGCGAACAACAGATTCCATCACTCATCAGAGTGCTCTTCTCTATAGTTGATGTCATTTTATTTTTGGAAAAATCCCTGGCTTGCATGATTTCTTTCTTCAGCTGTGCCGTAAAGGATTTGCATGTGTATCCTGGACCAGAGGGCTCAATGCCCTGCCTCAGACATACATCGCAGCTGGCCCTGTTATTGTTTGAATGGGTCATGGAACCTGATACCCAGGAAAGGATCCTCTGTGGGCAAGCCTGCCCCTGGGGAGAGCTGGGCTGCTGCTGCTGCTGCCTGGCAGTCTCTCTTCCCATTCATTAAGAGCTTTTGGGCTAGTCATCTGGCAGCATCATTAAAAGGGAAATACTGAGGCTGCCCGCCTTAACAGAGCAATTCAGCAGTGCACCCACACCCACGCACACATGCACACCCCCAGAGCATGGGCCCAGTAACACGGGACAAGCTATAATTAACTAGATGAAGGAGTCCATCTTCCTTTGTTGCTGCAATCAGTTGTCACTCTCAGCTGTGTTTTGTGCTCTCCCCACCTTCTTAGATTTTATGGCTTTATTTTTCCATTTTAAGTGCTAAGTACCCAAATGTGGTGCTGGGGTGTGTGTGTGTGTGGGCAGTGGGGGTGAGGTTCAACCTGCCTCCAAGATTTCCTTCGTTTTCTCCTCCACCTTGAAAATTGCCCCTAGGAAATCCTGAACGATGAGGGCTGCTGTTTAACTACCTTGCTCTTTCATATCATTGTACTCTGAAGCTACTTTTAAAAATGTTCTTCTCGCTTCATAAGAAGCCAGTGTTGGCCCTTGATACTTTGTACAATTAGAGCCACTTAATTTTACTGTTTTGATAGAGAAAGCAGATGGTTCACAATTTTTTAAAAAAATGTACTTCTTTGAAAGGTTGCTTTGAGATCAAGGGAGATTAATATTAACCTTTAAGAAAATAATACTGATTTGGTAGTAGGTTAAAGAAATGTCAAGAAACCTCCCAGACCTAAACAGGAAGAGTTAGTTGTGGCACGCATAAATCATGGCCAGAGAGCAGAGTTTATATGTCTGTCTGCCCTCAGCAATGAACATATTATTTTAATAACAAACCAATGTTCTGAAGAAGCAGGCCACTTTCTCTTCACAGTCTGAAGAAACTGGGGCTCCAGAGGCTGAGCACAAGCAGATGCTTATCGTTATCTAAGAAACCTGTTGAGAACCTTCTTCTGAAGCCATGCGCTTGTCCTTACTGTTACTGATGTTTGAAGTTCAGGAATAGCAAGTCACCAGATTCTTGACTTTGACATAAAATTTCTTTGCAAGTGGATAAGCTATTTATTCTGAGGTTTTCCTAAACCTTTTCCAGAGCAATTGCTATCCACCATTTTTGTTGGGCAGCAGTTGTGCCCAGCCAGTAGATTATTATAAGAATGACTAGATTGGTTTAGGAAAAGCACACAAGCCCTTGACCATTGTGGCTCATGCAGTTTTGTGTCAACCTTTTCCCAGTTCTACACTGGCTGGGTTTGCAGCCCTGAGGCTTTAATGAGGGTTTCTTGTTGAACAAATATAAGATTAAAAGGAAAGCACGTTTCACCTGGATTTAGGTGGAAACAGATTTTCTTATGGGATTCCCCTGGAATGGGATGGCTATTGGCACAAACAGTGGTTGTATATGTGAATAATGTGCTTTGGGGCCTAATGAGTTCATTTAGTGTCCTGAGCCTGCTGAAAGCTTTGCTGGCCTTTATGGTTGATGCTCAAATAGCATGGTGATAGGTGTCCCCCCTGTTCTGGCAAAATCTGGTCTAGTTTGCAGGTCAGAACAATTCTCACACCTCTTGCATTGGTTTGTTGGATGCCCTGTTAGTTTATTGTAGTCCCATAGCAAGTGCTACCCCATGCCACCTTGAGATGACTTTGACTTTTATGATTTGAAAATTGTTTTAGTGTCTTGTCATATCTTGAAACTGATGTAAAGGTGAGACGATGATGTCAGTTCATGTTTTTTGTGTTGATTTTACTGTGACTAATTTGGGGCCTTTGTTACACATGCTGCAAATGTCACAGATTTTAGATCTCACTGGTTGAAGGTTTTGGTTGTTAATGACATTTTGTTGGAGATAAATACACTCATTTTCACTCCTACTTTAAATTGCAAGGGAGGAAGATTTTCAGATGAGAAAAGCTGATATGTTATTTCATTATTTATATTATTACTCTATCTAATAATGAATCTAGAATTCTGTTGGTGTTCTCTGTTAAAATAAGGATCTGTGTCGATGGACAACTTAAGAGACAATACTGGTTTTTTGCTATATCTCCAAGTCCACCCTCCTTTTTCTTCCTGTTTTAAAAAGGAAAAAGTAGCATTTGGGGGAGGGGCGTTATTTTTCATTAATCTCCCTACTTCCATTTTCCAGTTGGGACTAGAAGATCGAGGTACATACAATACTGAAGCTGCTGTTGTATTTCAAATTTGTCGAGAAGCAGAAGGAGTCAGAACATTTCTAAGGGAGACTTTCTTTCGCAGGCATTTGAACCAAGGCCAAACTAGGGGCCTGAAGGGTGGGTATGTTTGGGGGGTGCGCTCACTCCTGGACTGCAGGCGAAGGGCTCTGGGCTGCACGTCGCTGATGTGCCTGACAGATAGGGCACACAGCATTGGCCCTCTGGGGATAAGGACAAAAGGGGTGTTGACATTCCTGACGTTTTGAGATTTTTATAGCTCCTCTGTGGCTGGTGGAGAGAGAAGGGGACTTCTTGTGTGATTCAGCGTATTTAGTGCAGGCTCTTGCTTTAAACCCTCTCTGGAGGTTTCTCTTTGTCAGTGTCCCGTCTCCCCAAGTGGACAAAGCCCCTGCCATCCCCAGCAGTTGCATCTGTTGGTACTGTGCCTCTTAGCCATGGCTTTCCTTCCCCATGGTGTACAAAGGCTGAGGGCTTGGGACCCCTGTCTCTGCTCTGGGTCTGTTGTCCCCTCCCTGTTTGGCCGGCTTCAGCTGCATGTCATACTGCCGCCTTCTTGCCTTTTCTCCTTTTTCACCATTGCTGCAGGGTCTCTGTTCTTTGTAGGTCCCAAGAATCATACTTTTGTCTTCTCGTGTTTTACAGTGCCTTTTACAGTGACTTTCAAGTACCCATTTGGACATACCTAAGATTTGCCCAAGAATGATAGGGTCTGTGGCCATAAATAGAGACACAAATTCAACCTGGTCTGCTAGCAGAGCAAAATGATTCAGTGAAATTATATCTTGTAATTTAGACCAGATATATGTCCTACAGTATCAACTCTGCTATGTTTATTTATAGCTAAAAAACCTAAAAAAAAATCTAAACCTATGTTGTGTTTCTGATTATTTTTCTAAATCCACAGTAATCTTCAAGAACATTAAGATATTTGCATTCCTTAGACTGTACAATTATTAATCCCCTTATCTGGCTTGGAGTTCTCTGTGGGTGCATATTCTTGGGATGATCTGGATTTTAGATTTCTCCAGCAGACGCAAAGGAAAAATATAAGAGAGAGAGAAATAAACAAATTCAAACTCAGCATGCTGCTTGTTGAAAATTCTCATTCTAATAAATTCATTTGACCTCTCAGTCTCCGTGAAATTAAAAAAGTCACAGCCCTGTTTGGTTAATACACTGACTTAAGATAGGGGGTGTGTGTGTGTATGTATGTATCAAAATCCCTGCCATACTATGTGCTGTGAGAGGTAGGAGATGTGGAGAAGGACTCAAACTAAGGGAAGAAGGTCAGGGAACCAAGTACGAAAGGGGTCACTCATGGCTTGAGTGGGGAGCACTCGATTTTTGTATACGTTAGTCCTGTGATTTCATGTGTTACAAAATTAAGTAATGGGTCAGTTGATGCTTAATGGATTGGGCATGAATATATACACAATAGTATCTAAACGATATTTGTATGAATACAGTTGTACGGTAAACATATTTGACAATTCAGGCTAGAAATGGATTTTAATAGAAACAAACAAGTTTTATGCCAGAAAGAGTTATTGGACAGAGACTGGAGCAGCCCAAGTGACCACCACAGCCCCATCTACAGAGCTGGCAGTGACTGTCACTGCTGAGGGGAGCTGTGCTGCTTTCTGGCTTTACCTCGAATTACGAAATCAAAGAGTAGCTTTAGCTATAGAGCTATAAAGTAACCCACTGCCCTTGGAAGTTGAATCTCCAGTTCTTCCCAGAAAGTAAATGGAATAGTATTAAAAATAGGTTACAGGTAATTTTTTTAGTCCTTGCCAGGTCTGGTGTACTGGTGTCTAATTAGCAAGTGTGAGCAGTGTTGATCGACTCCTAAAAATACATGCTGAAGCCACCATGTTCAAGAATGAGGATAGCTTTGTGTGTGTGTGTATGTAGCCCAGATGTTTTGTGTGAAGGAGACGTGCTGGGATCATGGCCTCCCTTTCACTGACCACTGCAGCCTTGACTTTTAAATCTTTAGCTGAGGAGAAGTTATTTCTGTAGCTCTGCAGAGAAGCGAATGCTCCCTGCAGAGCCCCATTGCAGACCTTGGCTTTCCTAGCCCATTCAGCCATACCGGTGTGCAGTGCCTCTGGAGTCATTCCCCAAGGGATATGATGAACCTCAAACACAGTTCTGCAACTACCAGCAGGTGTTTTCTACCTGTGACAGATGCTTTCCTGCTCAGTATGGAAAGCAGCACCTGCATATGTGTGTGCCCTGCGTGCTACACCCATACTTGGTCTAGTTCAAGTATGTGAGCTCCAATCCTGAGAGGTATTGGACTGCCACCAGTGTGCATGGATATTGCTGCTTCTTTTTCTGTTTTGTTCTTTTTTTCTTACTTCCTCTCTCTCTTTCTCTCTTTCAAAGGCCTCTCACACCTGATGATGGGTGAACAAGGTAAGTCCTTCCGACTTTCTCTTTGTTTCAGTCACTGATCATGAAAGAGCTTTGTCCCTGCTGCTTTTGTGAGCTGGGCTTTGCATGACAAAAGCAACTAAGCCTACTGGGTGCCAGTCAAGCCATTTGCATTTTTGCCTCTGTGTCCTGTGAGCCATGACTGCTTGTCAGCTTGGGACTCAGGTGCCCAGGAGGGAGCATAAAATGATTCCATGGACAGTAAAGAGGTATGCTTCCCTCTTCCATGCAGCCCACCAACTATTTTATCTTGCCATTTCTTTCTTGTGGCAGGCGGGATGACTTCCACCTCTGCCCCGGACATGTAAATATCTATGTTTAATGACTCCCACTTCTGCCCGGTAAATGTAGATATCAATGTTGGTCTTTATTTTTAAGAGTGCAATTATTACAAAAAATATGTTAATAGCCCTCATGGCATGATCCTAACTAATTATGAACCCTGAGGAAAATTGCATATAGCGGCCTGTTAAGTCCTGTGTCTGCAATTTAAAATATTTAAATATGCACAGAGCAAAATGGTTTAGAAGAAGAACAAGGCTAACCCCAGGCTGGGCTACAGATGGGATCTAGGCCTGTATCAGAGTTCACATTTCAATACTTCAGCCTAGATTGTGTTACAGATCTATTGGCTGTGACATGATGGGATCATTAGTCCCATGTTGCACTACGGGGGTGTGGAGCAAGAAGCTGGTGAGAAGAGGCGAGGTGAGGAGAGGGGTGATTCTGTTTTCCTTGGACAGTGTCAGCATCTTGCTGACATGGATACGCAGGGAGGAGTTAGCAACGCTGGTGAAGCATTCTAGTCTTGTGAATGTAGGAGTGAAATGGTTGAAGACTTAATGCAAGGTGTGTGCACATGGTGCACTAGGAAGACCAGACCAAGTGTTTGTCTATGGGGAGAAAATGTGACTTTTGACACTAAAGCCTGATGAGGCTTTACTAGACTAGATGTATACAATAATGTTTTTGCCATTAAGTGGACACGTATCTGAGGTTAGACAGTCCAAAGAGTTAATAAGATAGAATGTAGTGCCTGTGAAGGCTCAAGAGTAATTAGGTACTTGAATAAAAGAGACGTAGTTTCTATGTATCTCAGTGAAATGTAGAGAGGCTTGGGACATAATCAATTTTTATTCTGTAGTGCAGGGCAGATGTCTGCTCTGAGGTCATGAAAACTTACGAAACATTCAGAAGTGAAGTTGGGGCTCACTCAAACTTCAGTTTCTGTACTGCTTAGCATCCCTATGTAGTGGGAAAGGTAGGAAAACAGGGCTTTTTATGACTGCATGTCAAGACCATGGCATTCGGCATGTGGAGCATCTGGCTAAGCCCTGGGAAGCATTGAGCTCCTTCTCTGTCCCCACTTACTGTTCAGCTGGGCTCATGGCTTGGAGGTTGTGCATGCTGAGGGAGCATCCAGCAGACCGGTCCGTTCAGCATGTCCTGGTTGCTCAGGATGCAGCTGAGTATGGGCAAGCCATTGGCAGAGGAAGGATGATGGCATGTTGGGAGTGATCAGGACAGTGAACTTTCATGGCCACTTTCAATCTCAATAACACTGAACATGTCTTTGTAGCAGTCTGTGATTTAGCACTGGATTATATAAACAGATGCACTTGGCCATTTAAATTGCAAGTGGCAACCCAGCTGGTTCATGACCTGTTCAGACCTGTATGATTGTCATCAGCTCTTTCTATACTCCCTTCCCTGGCAAAAAATGTGAAAACTATTGGCTTCTGGCAACTTTACCACCCTTATTTATCTGTGACGCATCAGGGAACAGTGGCTTCTCTTTACTTGCCAACCAACTCACAGATATTCCCTTTTGATAAATATTTACTATCCATAAAAATATGATGGATATAAAATATGTAAATGTATATGTGTGAGTAAATATGCAATGTCAACATTATATACAAATACATTAGCTCTCGTAGGTGAAATGTGTTTAGCAAATATATTACCATGAGATTTATTTTTTTTCTGTCCTACTCTGTTGTTTCCCTTGCCGTTTTGAATTTGATGTGGAATGAGGCATATCACTGGCGTGCTATTGCATGAGGGTTTGCATTTCTCAGTAGAAAATCAACTTAAAGCCAAAGGGCTTAACCAGGCAGGGTTGTACTGTCAGTTGTTTAAGCCTTGCTTTGTGCTTTAGTTGTGGTGTGTTGCTTATTTTTCCCTTGACATTGTGTTTTGTTGGGTTTGGCTGCTATATAAATACGCTCATTTTCTTGTTTTTTGTAAGTATGGCCAGTGACATAATTTTCTGTTTTTTATGCTTCCTCCTTCTCTTCTCTTTTGCCTCCTCCATGACGGACACCCCTCTTGCTCCTCCTCTTAACTGGATGCACACCTTCCTCTCTGTAGGTAGAAGTAAAGGTAGAGATTGCATTCTTTCTAAGACTTAATTGCTTGTAAAATGTTTGTTTGTCAACGGAAAAATTGTATTTTTATGAATGTGGTTCATATTGGAACTTAATGTGTTTACTTTTAAAAGTGTCTTAACAATCTTTTGGTTTTTATTGAATTATGGAAGAAAAATTTATTAAGATGAATGCTTTGAGGCCTTCTTAACAGATGTTATTTTCTCCCTGTTCGCACTAAGTATGGGCTGCACAGTGTCAGGCTCTCTGCAGCTGGTGATGCTGGGGTGCAAAGGGACCGACAGTTCAGTCGAAGACAGAGCCAGAGGCCAGTGAGCTGGTACTGCCGACTCTTTTGCACTGGAGTGATGCCACTGCTGGGAATTTTGGCACTGCTGTTGGTGGAAGCAGGACCTGGGCTTGTCCCGTACCATTCAACAATGGAGGTCTTTTGAGCTATCATTTCTCCCCCCAGCACTGCTTCCCATCCTCTCTGTTAGTGAAATGGTGTTTTTCAAAGAGAAACTGAGTTGCAAAAAGCTGCAGAGGAAACAGAAGTGGTCAGCACTGCTAAACAGAGAGGTCCATTTTCTTTGCAGCTCAGTACAGCACAGGGCACGTAAGGCTGCTCTGGGGCTCCAGCTTGCTCTTCAGCAGTTCACACCTATCTTTCGCATGCAGAGGGCAGTCATCCATTCCTAATCAAAACTGTCAAAAAGGCAAAATGCTGCAAACCTGCTGTGGGTTTCCAGTTGAACTGGAGGGAAGGGTGAAGATTAATTGATAAATTATAATCACCGCTCAAGGAAAATCCATTTCTCTGTCCTATTTTCCGATGAGATAGAGAGATTAAAAGGTTTTATTATGCTGAGGTTTACTCCTTTTCAACAAATACACTGCTGAAGAATCTGATCTATTGATCAGCATGATTTGAACACATTGGAGGATGTTGGGTGTGCTCATGCCAATAAGACATTGGGGGATGAAATGAGTAATTGTACTACTATGAATTTGAGAGGATATGAGAGCTCAGAGGATTTGTTCACAATAACTTTCTTTTGAGGCACAAGCAGTCTCTGCCTAGTGATCACTCCTCCTCTAATACCTGAATTCTGGGGAGCACAATGGAATATTAAACACTTTCTCTTGGTATGATTCCTCTTTCTGATGTCCTGCCTTCTTCTATCAAGTTTGTATTGTTGGATTCTCTGTGATGGGGTGCATCATGTAATCAATATTATTTGTTCTGTTTTGAGGTTGAAAAAGTATTGCAATAATTAATTTCATAGCTTTTCTATTCTCTCCAAAGTTGGTCGGTGGAGAATAATATATAAGCTGTACTCAAGAGTTATCTTCTTAGCAAGAGGTGAACATCAGAACATACTAATCACATATACACACTGTAAAAAATGTAAGAACCTAAAGCTCTAAGCACACCATACTAAATGTTACTGTGGCTCAACACAGCTGCCAATAATTGAGTTAGCTGATGTATGGCTTATTGTGATTTAAGGGTCGATGTAGATCAGGGCGAGTCGTGTGGTGTGATGTAGCTCATGTTGCTCCCTTCTTTTCTTGGGTGGCATTTGTGCTGCAGACCAGTCTATGCAAGACTAAACTGAAAGTCTTTTCTGAAGCAAAACTGCCAGTTGAGACTGTAGGAATGAGGATTATAATAAATAGTCCACAATTAATTCATATGCACTGAAACTTAATTTATTGTGTCATTGAGTGAAAATATTGTTTCACTTCCCAGCTATGTGTAGTTTTTAGCTCTAGTTATAGCAAGTGTCTTCATCAGAGAACCATCAATCTGTATGAAAAATGGTATTACCTTCAGAGGGCTCAGGCAGTGTAATTTTGAACCCATACATGGCCTTCAGCTTATGGAGAAGGTGGTACCAGATGCCTTAGTGATTGTACCTGGAAGGTTCATATTTTTTGGCATTCTTGTAGTTTTTAGTAAAAACTGGCAGCCACTCTGTCTCATGCCACGTATGTAGCCAAAGGATATGATATATTTGATTTCATAAAACCTCTTCACAACGTATAGCAGTCTGTGACCTTGCATTCATCATTTGAAACAAGTCTTTCATTAGTTGCTTCCACTGTAGTAAATAGGCTTCTTCTGTATCTATCCTTTTTAAAAAGTTCAGGAGATTTAATTTTTTTTTTTTTTTTTTTAATAAGTTCCTGGAAAGCTGAAGAAGATGAAGTGTAGGTGTTCTGGAGTAATGGCTGGAGTAGTCAAGGCACAGAAAAGCACCTGGGTACCACTTGCATTTTAACCAGAACTGAGTATATATGCACTGTTTGTGTTTTTATTAGGTGTATGGAACTGGTCACGGAGATGAGGTAAATGTATGATGAGCAGGGAGGACTTTGATTTAGTTTGGCATGAATTGCTGAATACGACTTCTCTTCTGGAGAGGAATTGACAATTAAGGAACAATTATATTGAGTTTATTTCCCTAACACTCCCCCACAAGTAAATGATACCAAAGGAGATCATAAATACCCAACTCTAATTTGCTATTGAACTGGAGTTAATGTGTAGTCACGTTCTTCCATATCATTTGTTCTCTTGACAGCCTTTGTTAAGGAAATGATAATTTGCCTTTTTGCTACCTTTCACCATTCTTTTATATGTGTACTGGGTTTTGTTTTATCATCACTCTTGGTTTGGATCTGGCTTCTATTGAGATTTGTGCCTCCAGAGGAAATTGGCTGTATTCCTGGTGGGACTCTGCTATTTTTGGTGAATGAAGTCCTGTGTCTTCTTGAAGGCAATAGCAAAATTCACATTGAATTCAGCGGGCTAAGATTCACCCACAGAACTGAAAAGTCCCAAACATCCCCTCTGACACATAGAATGGCAGTGAGGTGTGGCTGGTTTCTGGGTGTGCACAGGACACCTCCGTAGCGCCCGTGCAGTCTGCAGACTGCTGCTTCTCCTCTAAGGCACTGAGCTGCTTCCCTCCATCAGTAGCTGTGCTCGGGATGAAAAACTGCACAGCTGCACACTCATTTTCAACATGAAGCAGGTTTTTTCTCCATTCTCAGAGGGAAATGAAAAAGTACTCCCATATTTCATAGGTGGGACATTTTTAAATGCATGTTGTGTAGACCAAAGGCTACTGGCAAATTCCCCATGTAGTTCTCAGCATTGCAAGATCAGATTATCTCCCTTGGTCCTAACTGCTCTTAACCCAAGTAGCTCTTTTAAGTCTTGTAATGTTCAGCATTGCTCTCAGTGAGCAGTGTGAGGTTGTTATTTCTTTGAATTGTTCAATAATATTGACCAGGAGGTAATGGTACAGAAAAAACAAAATAGTGGTTGTGGACTCGGATAGAAGGAAATGACTGGACCTTACTGATCTGGAAAATAATTTCAAGTTCTTCTTTACCAGTAATACCATTAGGATTTCAGAGCATTATGAATAAGTCCATCTGAGTGGCCAAGAGTTTATGCAAATGTTGAAGTGAAACATCAGTAACAAATTAAATCATTGGTGCTTTATAAATATCTAATTATACAAGGGGAAAAAAGAGCACTACATTCATTTCGCCAGCCTTGGCAGTGCTTTTTAAGCTCTGCTTTGCCCTGTAAAATATCTTAATACTTGTGTTTTAAATGTGAATATTGTATGGTTTTGGTTTCTACAATTACAGTCCTTTCCCTAATGCTTTTAAAATATGTGTGGTATTGGGTTTGTTTTCCTTTTGGTGGGAAAAAAATCCTGCCGTATTGTAAGGATGATGACTTTCAGTTTTAACTCTCCTCTTAATGACTGTTTAAAAAATAAAGCATTTTATTTTATGGTTAGCAAATACAATCTGTAAAAACTTTTTGATAGAATCAAGGCCCCTTGAATGTAGATGTCATTTTTCTGGAAAAATTTTTTGTAAGCAAATTTTTGCTGCTGGTTTCATATTTTATTTAGGGAAGAAACAAATATTTTAATGTAATTCTTATAAGTCTAATTAGAGATGATTGATAGTTGATGAATTTGAATTGTAAGATATTGGGGGACATTTCTGCAAGGCATTCATCCTATTTCTTTATATTCCAGAGGTTATGACATTTTCTGAACTTTGGTGAATGAAGTCACTTAAATGTTGAATATCAGCTGACACAAAGAAATAGATGTCTTATAAACATTCTTCTTTTTACACCTCTTCATAAGATATTTATGAAGGCAGACAAATGAGACATTAAATAGGATGTTTTTGGTAAATTATTTTTTGTTTGTGCATATGAGCATGTGTGTTTACAAATAATGTGTAAGCATAAACTATTTAATAATGTGTTAAGTATTTAGTAGATTATAGGCAATTTTTTTTTCTTACATGCTTTCTTTCTGCCTTATTTTAAAATTGTATCTTTCTAACGTGTGAATAAACAGCTGATTCTTCATTGGCTTTGATTTTTATTAAGAACACTTCCTGTGAGAGTTAAAGGTGGTGTGGTCATGTTGTGTGCAAACAGGAGCTAAAATATTGTCTTCTTACACTGTATTGTAGTCTTCTGTTTTCGATGAGGATCAGGTTTCACTCTGCCCAAAGAGAATATTTAATTGATATCATTGAAAGGGGTTTTTTTCTTCCTCTATTTTCTTTATTTGAGGCATTCAGTGGTGTGTAGAGATGCAGCGGTAACAGAACAGGCCATATGCTTTGTAAAAGGCAGACTAATAGCACTTTTGATGGACATCTGATTTTTAAAGTGCTGTATCTTTCATTAAAATTTACATGTAAAGTATGGGGAAGCGTAGTGACATGAAAGCTAATGCAAGTTGCACATCTTGACATAATAACAATCACAAGAAACTGAAGATCCCAGATGGCAGCTTGGCCTTTGCCATCCTTTTAATAAGCTACTAACTGCTAATTATTGCACTCTTATGGGCAAGTTAATTTACTGTTGACTCTTAAAGAGACATTGTGCCTTTTCATGCCATTTAAGTTTTTCAGTTTAGATTTGAGAGTGTTTTTTCCCTGCAGATTGGAGTCCTT